TTATTTTTAGATGTTTTTTGCAGTGATGCCTTTTGTACTTTGCAAACAAGATGTATTGTCACAAGATTTGAAAAATCCTAAACTCGAACCAATAAAATGCAAAACAAACATTGCTGTGAAGGTGTCAGGTTGAATAGACTCTTTTTCTTTTTTTGAAAAATGAGAAAAAGGACATTCCGTAAAAGTTCAAAAAATATCCACTGGACTTGGTTTCCAAGATTTGAAGACGTTTCGCCACCTCTCCAGGAAGCTTTCTCAATTCAAAAGTCTGGATCCGCAGTGAGTTTGAGTCTTATATAGACAAAGCCTTGTATCGCTTGGAAACATGCAAATGGTAACAGATGAATGGGTCGTTTGGTTCCATTGTTAGCCTGTAATATCTGAAACCTGTCTATGATTCTGAAGGTTGGAGCGGGTAGGTACTTCGTTCCTCTGTGATGGGATGGGGGGTGTGGTGATATCTGGAAGGGATCATGTCTATGACTGAATTGTATGTTTTTGGAAGCTGGAATCTGAGTCCACCACCTCTGTTTAAAGTTGGTTTTTCTCTCTTAACATAGATGGCTTCCTTCACGCCCCCCTCAAACCACCTATTTTCTTTATCCAGAATGTGAACATTGTGGTCCTCAAAGACCAGAATGTTCACGGGAAAGAGGACATGATTTGTGTCTTTGTGGGTGAGAAATATGTTTGTGTGTTCCCCCTGAGGAGATTTGGTAAGATTATCATTTATCAGGTAACTCTGCTAGTTGTGAAACAAATCAAGAATGTGATACTTCACAGCTGCTTCTGCTGCTGTGATTGGCTAAAAGCTCAACATGGGAGGCTGGTGCCACTTGGGAATTTACCTAATCAGTTTGACAAATAGTTCTAAATGTCCCTCCCTTTTGGAAACACTTTCCACAGGAGCCTTTCTAGATGGATGCTGTGTACAATTCAAGTTGAACTACACCCTTCAGTCTGGCTTGTGCCAGGTTAAGGGCTCTTCTAGTCATCACAACAAAAACATGCTCTAACGAGAGTAATTGCTTTTTACTTAAGAGCAATTATGACATCGTACACTATCCAGGGAACCACTCGTGCCTCATGCCATTTACAGAGTGGCATGAGCCAATGATGGCGGTGGTGTTGGGAATTTATCAGCTGTAACCAGGTAGGATTTCTGTTGCTTTAATTATATCTGGTTAGAGGAAAATTAGCAAGTTCTGTAAAAAAAACTAGCCACTCTAATGCCATCGAAGGAGGTATCTGATTGGTAGATTCTTTTATAGCAGTAAATTAGGGAGATATTTCAGTGCTTTTTAAAATCTAACATGCTTAGACTGGTCACCGGAACTTGATTATCTTACACTGAATAGAAGTGAAAATAATGTTTTCAAACCACAAATACATAGTGGTGAGGTAGAACAGTAAGACTGACACATGACAAGGGACTGATGCAGCAGCTGTAAATCAATGAGAAATACCTAGAGTTGTTAGGCAGGGCTTGAAATGGTCAAGCTAGCGAGATGGGATTTTCAAACTCATGCAATGTCTGGATTGACAGAAAGCTGCACATGGATACTAGAGTGCTTTGAATTGTGTAAGGGTACTGTACTGAAAATATCTGATACAGGATACAGCCCATTCGGTTTTTTTACGTTAATGTACTGATTAAAAAGCCGTTGTTTTAAACATGAAAACTTGCAGAATGTTTATATGCAAAACTAAATATTGATGCAATGTTTTACAGAACAACAGCAAAAAAGGCATCATCTCCATAGAGCTTTTCAGCAGATGGAACCATGTAGTGCTCTAAAATCTCTTGGTACACAGCTGCATTTACTCTGGACTTGATGAAACACACTGAACCAACACCAGCAGCTGACATGGCTCCCCAAACCATCGCTCACTATGGGAACTTCACACTGGATTTCAAGCAACTTGGATTTTGCGCCTCTCCAGCTTTTCTCCAGACTCTGGAGCCTTGACTACTAAATGACAATACAAAACTTGCTTTCGTCTAAAAAGAGGACTTTGGACCACTCTGCAACTGTCCAGTGCTTATTTTCCATAGCCCAAGTCAGACGCTTCTTCCGTTGTCTTGAGTTCAGAAGTGGCTTGACCATGGGAATACGGCTATTGTAGCCCATTTCCCGGACACGTCTGTGAACAGTGGCTTTTGATACCTGGACTCCAGCTTCAGTCCACTGTCTTTGAAGCTCCCCCACATTCTGGAAGCGGCTCTTCATCACAATGCTGTTAAGGCTGTGGTCACCTCTCTTGGTTGTGCAGCGTTTCCTGCCACATTTCCCCCCTTCCAACACACTATTTGTGAATGTGCTTTGAAACTGCACTCTGTGAACAGCCTGCTCTTTGAGAAATTTCTTTTTGTGTCTTATAATCCTGATAGAGGATGTCAGTGATGGTCTTCTGGACAGCAGTCAGATCAGCAGTCTTCCCCATACTTGTGATTTAGTTCACTGAACCAAGCTGAGTGTTTTTCAAGGCTCAGGAAACCCTTGCAGGTGTTTCGAGTTAATTAGACGATTCAAGTGATTAGTTAAATAGCCTACTAGTATACTTTTTCACGATATTCTAATATTTTGAGATAGGATATTTGGGTTTCTTAAGCTGTAAACCATAATCAGCGATATTAAAACAATAAAAGGCTTGCGATATTTCAGTTGATTTGTAATGAATCCAGAATGTATGACATTTCATGGTTTTTAATTGCATTACAGAAAATAAAGAACTTTATCACAATATTCTAATTTTCTGAGACAGTCCTGTATACATTTGTAGCCCTAAAAAATGTTCAATGTGTCTTTTTAAAATTAAATTAATTTTCTTTTGAACACAACTAAAGAAAGGAATTAAATAACCATGTTGAACTGAATGAGCTGAAGATATAGAACAACAACATGATTTGGACTTGGGTATACAGTAGGTGTACTTTTCAACACCTGAGACTTATGGTAATGGGTCTTGGAATGTCAATGATAATGACGGCCTACTTCTTTTTCTGAAACACTTGTGAAAGTGGATGTGGAAGACCTGTTAGGGATCTACAAAAGTTCTACACCTGTTTGCAAAAACGTGACATTTTCTTTGAAAAAAAAAAGAGAAAAATTGACATTTTGACATTATACACCCAGGGAGCCAAAAACACATCTATTGTCTTTGTTCTAACTGACTGCACAGTTTTTAATCACCTCCACAGATTCGCTGTTACTTGGCATATTTTAACGCCAGGTGGTGGTGATACAGAATTTACTTAGCACTTAAAATCTGACATTTTGATGCATGAAAAACTGCTTAATTGCAGCATCGGAGTACATAAAGAAGTAGCAGTCATTACACAGTCAATCATTTCAGATGCTTTGAAGGACTTAACAACATTATAATTCACTATCTGCTACTGAAAATAAAATTAAAACTTTGAAATTAAAATGAACTTTTAATCTATTTCTTAAATTCTATAAAAAAAAAAGCATTCTCCACACTGATCTTGTACTAAAAAAACCAAATGTTAACAAAAACCCTATCCATGTCGCAAATGAACTAAAGGTCGCTGAAGCAGTGCAGCTTATGCTCTTATCGCCCAGAACAGCCAACAATGAGACCCCTCTGTCAAGCAAGCGGCTTCTCAAACATAAGCTGATAGCTTTGTGTGCAAGGAGTGAGGGCTAAAATGCAATCCCTGCTATGCTAATCTGAACAAGTTCAACACTGGAAATATATCACTGCCTCCTAATTGGGCTTCATTGAATTAAATGTAGTTGAACAGACACGATTTGAGAGGAGTGTATACAAAGTATGATTAATATATCTGTAGGGATGTATCATTATCACACCTTAGTCTCCACTATTATTATCACATGGCATATTAAGACAGATTACACACAACGCTTAGCGAGCTCTCATCCATCAGTCAAAGGATAATAACTCATGGTTATTCTGTAAAGTTACAAAAAAGGGAATCTCATTTCTTTCAAAGATCTGAAAGTGCAACATTAAATGAACGGATAAGTCTTATAATTCAAGTCCAAAAGGTTAATTTCTCCATAAGTGCTGCTCTGACACACGATACAATTTCCACCACTGACATTTAAAGCAGACTCGCTACATTTCACTAAACTCTTGGGAACAACGGCAGGGTTTAACCACTAAGTAAAAAAAAAGAAAATTGAACTTCTCAGACAGATTACTGACAAAACAAGTTGAAGCCATATGGAGGTAAAAAATGTACTATTGACCATAAACGTTCATGAAATAGTTCAGATTTAATAGGCCTTTTTTAAAGCCATAGAGGGGTTTCATTGCATAGGGCACAAAGCAGCCAGAGATAGTCTAGTTACAAAGAAAATAGCAGTTATGAATTAGATCAGAAAAAAGAAAATAATATGAAAAAGTCATTATAAAATCTTAAAAATGCTAAATTCATGCATATGTTAACCTCTATTACCTTAAATAAAGGAAGCAACAAAAACACGGCTAGAAAACCTGGCTGTTCCAAGTGCAGACCCTCGTTTTTAAGTAACACAAACAACCATAAAAAAGGGACTGAAACAGGTTTATAAAAAAGTGAGATGTAAAGATTTGTTTATGGGAGATTCCTCTCAACATCGGCTGAACGCCTCCATTGCATGGCGAATTAATACAACTATTAATGCAAAAAAATCCAGGACCAGGTATTACATTTTTACTGTACAGTATAAAAGATTACTCTTTTAATTGGTCTTAATTGATATTATAGACTTTGAAAGAAGCCCACGTTTGCATGTGCATCTACTGTAAGTCATAATCTTTAAAGTTAACAGAAATGAAGCCTTACATTTAAAACTCAACTTTTTAATATTAATAAAAAAATTAAATGTAACCTTTTGGTTATATTCAAATGTATTAAGCTGCATCTGTGGCCATCAGTACATCGGCTTGCAGGATAGATTTAACACAAGCAATGGCCAACAGAATAATACAGTCAACAAATATTGATTCAAAGTCATTATTTGTTAACAAAAATGGGAAAAATAAAAGAATAAATTAGGATTCAAAGCACTATAATTATGAGATTCATTATAACTACCCATGATTTAGTTGAGCTTATTTTCATTTATGACTTTAAGGAGGATTAAGGTCCAATTTTATGAGCACACATTCAGTTTTTATATCCAGAGGCAGGTATTTCCTCCTTATCGATTACCTGTTTTGACAGTTTGCCACCCCAACGAAAAGGGGCTCCGAGCTTGTAAATTATAGGTGCTGATAGGGCTGTGGTTGTCAAGGCCACGAGTCCAGGACAAGGTGGCAGTTGCATCTGTGATCTCCTCCACAATAACCACTCCAGGGGGTCCAGGAGGACCTGGTAGGCGAAATAAAGAGGAGATTAAATTATAGCTGGAGACATCTGTGCCTCTAAACAAACATCTAGAAAATGTAGGGACATAAGGACGAAAAAAAAAAATCAATCAGCTTCTGTTCGAAAGTGCTTATAGGATTCTGACAGCATTTTTTGAGGCAATTGCAGTGAATGAGACTGTGATAGAAAACTGCATTTCAATACAGCTGAACATATGTTCACTTCAGCCCTCTGAGGTAAAAGCAATCTGTAAGTGTTGTGAACATCGAAGGACTCCAGGGCGAACAGATGTAAAAGGAAAGCTGGCAGGTGACATCCTTAGTAAGAATCAGTATAACGTGCCCTTTAACGGTTCCTATAAGGCGGCTGCAATAAAAGTAGAGTCTGAATTTTGAACCTTAAAAAAATAAAACTGATGCAGGTGCTTTATGATTGCAGCTTGTCTATAGAAGCAAATGTTTAGAAGTAGGTTGTATTGGAATTGTTTTTTACAGATCTTAACAAAAGAGCTTGTGAGCTGTAACAGCTGTGAAAAAAAAATCAAAAATACTGAATATATCATGTTTTACAGTTCAAGTACCAATTCTTTAAAATGGTTTGTGATTCGCAAACCTTAAGAAAAAGAATTGGGAAAATTTTTTGCTGAAAATGTATGGATTATTCTTCTTGTTAACAGGATTGTGTCCAATCAGAGTTTGAAGTATTATTGCACCCCACGTTAATAGTCTGTTAATTGGTACCCTGCTTCTTAAGAAACTAAGTTAATTTAGACATTATGTCCAAAGTTTACTTCAGGTTAAAGGCATACTATGTATATTTTTTTTCAATCTGTGTTCAGTTTCTATTAGTTTCTTTTTTTAAATTTCAGATGGAGTGAAAAAAAAACTATGGCAAACTTCTTCCATAGCTGAGATGGTAAAACTAATGTCTATAATTTTAAGAATCCTTGCTTACTTTTATTGTGCTAAGAAATAGATTCAGGCTGTTCAAGCCTTACAATCGATTTAAAAAAAGAACAACTAATATATTCTCCTCACTTAAACACATTCTCACTCAAATTGCTCCTTACTGACTTTCTCCTCGACTTCAGCTGCTGTCTAAAACAACTCTTTATACTGGCTCATCCCTCTAAAGTGGATCAGGGCCTCTGAATGGACACACAAATATCAATATATGACCTGACAGCTGGGTAGTTTCAGTGCATGCAGTGTACGATTGCTGTAATCATCAGGTTTTTTGTTCAGATTCTGGCTGCCAGAACATTAAATGAATGACAGTCTCTTTTTTCACAACATTTTTGATTTGTAAGGGCTTAAATGGTGAAAATATATCAGTGCAGCTTTGAGCCATGAATAGAGCCACAGTAAGGAGTTTACATAAACTTATCAGGGTTATGAACATTGGGGCCTTTAATTGTGCCCTTGAACTGGTCCTTCACCAGGGTTATATCATGATACATCATCTACTTCAGTGATTTTTAAAGTGTAAAATATATAAAATTTTTGTTTTTTCAGTACATAATGGAATGGATTGCCACTGCACATTAGACAGGCCACCTCTCTGTCTCATTTTAAAACTCTTCTTAAAACCCACCTCTTTTCTTTGGCTTTTGACACCATGTAGAGCATTGATTTTATGTATATACGTCCATATTTTTATCCTGTGCGGGCAGTGCTTTTATTTTATTTACTTGTATTTATTTTTATTTATTTCATCTTTTTGTGCAGCAATTTGGAAACCTTGTGTTTATTGAAATTGTGCTATATAAATAAAGTGTTTGTTTTTTTCCACCTTTAGCTGACATACAATTCAGTTAATCAAACATCAGTTCAGGTACCATATTTACAACCATAAATTATTATCGCATCAATCCTGATGAAGAGTTTATATTAACTTCTGACTAGCAATTTAAACCAGGACCAAGCATTCTTGGTAAAAACAAAAAACAAATAACTCTGAAAACCTTTTGTTTTTCAGAAGAAGAAGATTTAGAAATATTAGTGCTATGTTTCTCATTACTACTAAAATTATATTTTACCTTTGAGCCTGTGACTATCATTTTTTTAAATGATCAAATGTTCTACCCTGCAGAGAAAACAAATAAAAACCTTTTCCACAACATTTACAAAAAGCTGTTTTGCATCAGACAGTAAAAGCTAACTATCTAACAGAGAGGCGCTAAACTTGTTCAAGCTGTCAGGCAATCTGAATATAAAATTAATCTACACAATCAAAGTCAGGGCCTAAATACCACCAACGTTAATTTGCAATTGTCCTCATAATGACTGAAATCTCACTTCCACAATAAAATCAACCATCCTTTCACATGCTGCTTCTGCATCATTAAAACTTGACAGAACAGAGGGACTATTTAGCAAAGTTTACAAGACTTCTGAGACACAAGAACAATCCATTGAACAAGAACTTAAATACCACTGTTCCTCACGCTTGTTTTTTTAAACTGGATTCCATGTTAATGACAAACATGGAACTATATAATTGCAAAGTAGAAAGAAAGGACAGACTATTTCTTTAAAAAATGTAAAAATTCAATATTCTTTTTCTTTTATTTCAAAATTAAGTACGTTAGTTAATTCACTTATAACACATAAGTAATTGGTCTTGAAATGAGTCTAGTTTTTCCAGTTTTGAATCTTCTCAAGCAGGGTTTCTGGATTTCATATGAAGAGTACATAGCATCATAGTTCACTGCTGCAGCAAAATATAACAAGCTTACCTCGTACAAGAAGTTCTGCCTCTGCAAATACTGTATCAGCGCTGGTCTGGGCTCTGCATCCATACTTCCCAGCATGCTTCAGCAAAATGCTCCTAATCATCAGATCCACCGTTGAAGTCTGCTGTAATTTGGGAAAGTATATAAAAAAATAAAAAAATCAGGAATAAAGTAAGCCTAAATGTGCGTGACACGAGACGTGTGATTTCATTACATCTTGTAGAGGCTCATGTGGCTTGAGAGATTCCTGTTTAATTCAGGTGCTTTCCTGGTGCTACATTCTTCAGCTACTAGTATTTTCCCGCTGCTGAAATGAGAAAAGCCTCAGGCAAGACTGGGCATAATCCAAGGTCTACAGGCAGCTGTTTAGCACGAAACCTGATTAAAATTACAAACCATGCTCCAGCCTAGCCTCTGTTGTGCCCTGTGAAGGATTGTCACTGCAAATACCTTCTCTCTAGTGCACAGTTGTGGCTGAGGCGAGCGCAGGATATCGGTCATTTCTGAACTATTAATAAAGAAACAGTGACTTACACTTGACTTTTTGCTTTTAATCTGTGTTTGATATTTCAATTAACTGGTGAATAAATCTCCATGTGTTTGCATATTTTATACATATAAAACAAATTTGAATGATGAAATCGAAATATTGGTCAACAAAAATCTGTATAATAACTATTTAAAGGCTGAGAGAAGTAAAAAAAAAAAAGGTCAGACATTTTGATAGAAAAAAAGGTTGATATATCTATATTTCAAATGTGTTGTTAAATATGTTATAAGAGCTCCTTATCTTTAAAGATCTTGCACAGTGCACACTAAGGCTTTCATTTTATTTTAAAAAAAGCTTCATATTTTAATTGTTTTTGTTAAAAAATAATACAGCTCTCTTTAAAACACTGTCTGCCTCTTGAACTTTGGACATTTGTCACATAAAACCTACAGGAGTGTATTTTATTCAGATTGGATCGTTGAAATAAGCTGATTGTGGCTTTTAATTTACAGTAGACCCCTTTGCAGTCATACTTTTAAGAGTAGTTAGAGGAAAGCCACAGTTTAAAGGAAAATCTTAACAAGTTTTTAAGCAGTTTGCCACAAATCGTCTAGGAGTTTAGGTGCTGTAACATGCTATACTTTTAAAAGTAGAAGCTTTGATTTAAATGCTTTTAAAGAGATAAGCCTGATTCTGTCTGTATTTTTATTGTACAGCTGTCTTCAAGAAACTTCATTGAAACTGGGAATATTTTTACAAGTAGTCTTGCTGCTATAAATAGCATTATAACACACCATTTTGTTTTTATTACATCATCCAACTCCTATGACCTTCCTAACTGTCTGTCTGGGGTATCTGTTGTTAGGCTATACACTTTTTCAATTAGATTTCCTTCATATGAATTAGATATATCATGCATCCACAGCCTGGACTAAAATATGACATTTACTGTATGCTGGTGTTTGTAGAAGGTAACATTTAGCAGTGTCTGAACTGCAGAAAAAACCTTGATTTCTAATAAAAGTCAACACACCGAAATGAAGAATTACTCATGTGTTTTGATACCTAGATTGCAAAAGCACTACTGATTAGTGGTATTATGGCTTGATATGCACTTTATGATTACTGCTGTGCCTCTTAAGTTACCCCTGATTTTTGCTTGTTTAGATCTGTGTCGATGCGTGCCCCCCCGTGGAGCACAGATAGCTATTTAAAACCATAAAACCAAAAAGCAGAAATCTCTATTAATCTTCTATATATTCTGGTCAGATAGGTTCTGGCACTTGGGTGCAGAAATATAAGTTTTGTTCAAAGCAAGAACAAGTGGAGATTAAAGCAACAAATTTGACTATGATAAAAAAAACAGATACGTAGCAAGCTGAAGAACATCTTTAACAACTTAATATAATGCAATGACAGCGAAGTAGTTCAGGGTAAACTGAAGTTTTCCTGCTGCTCCTTAAGATCTTTCTCAAACTCTGGAGAATAATTCAAGCATAACTTAATAATTTGGCCTTCAAAGCTTCAAAATCTTCTGCTACTTTATATATTTCATGTGTTGTTGCTAACTGTCTGCTGCTGCTCTCAGCTCTTGCTTGGTTTCTTTTTTAGCCTGTCCAGCACCCTGCTACCCCCTTGGGCTCGGAGGTAAGAGACCGTTTCCTCAGTTCTTGACATGTGGAAGACATGTTTTGGGGGTTAGAGATACGCTCATCACCCCATGACATGCAAGCAACATTTGCCACATTGAAGCCTAGATGTCAATCTCAAACTTATAGCATATAGTCAGATTTATAGATCAAATGCTTTTGTTACTACCAATTATATTTTTAAAATAATTTAGTATTTGCTCATCAATAGAAAACAACTCAGATGCCTCTATTATATAAACATATTTGACATTGATTATATCAACTTTTACCAAAAAATACTTTAAGGAAAAATAATTCAAAGCTCTATAATCTCTTTAATAAAAGCGATTTGGCCCAAAATATCCACTACAATATGACACTTAAAGTTAATAGATATTTTAATGAAAGTATACATAACATTAATTAACATTAGTTAATTAATGAAATGAAAAAACTTAAATTTTTTTCCACTTGAAATACAACACATTCATAGCTTCACATTTATAAAGGAAGACTGAGAAAATAAGACAGCAGGTTGACTTAAGCCAGCAGGTTGACTTAAGCCAGGCCCCATGTCCTGCAGGTTTTAGAGGTTTCCTTGCTCCAGCACAGCTGATTTTAATTGAAAGCTGATTAACAGGCTTTTAGTCTACTGCAATCATTATAACCAGCTATGCTGAAGCAGAGAAACCTCTAAAACCTGCAGGACAGGGGGCCTTGAGGACCGAGTTTGGGGATGCCTGACTTAAGCAATGCCTGGTTAAGATTGCAAGATAATAATGCCAAATTTTGGCTTCATCTTCACATTTCGACAAGTCCCAATTCTCATGATGGCTCTTGGGATAATCTTATGAGATAATCCTGCTGTGTGTTGTGAAATTGTGGATATGCAACATGTTGAATTGTCTTGGCTCTATATCCTTTGTTCTCCAAGTACAGAGGGCACAACCTGTTGAATAAGATCTGGAGCCAATCAGAAAGATTTTCTTAAGGAGAAAAAAACACAACACTCACTACTTTAGCTTGTATAGCTCCTTATTGGACTGTCTCCACTGTTTTAACCAAAGACTTTCCTTACTATATTTTTTTACTCAGCTAAAGTTTGTCCAAAATGTATTCTGTTGCCTTGTTAATATTTATTTATAACAAACTCACATTTGATGAGTTTATAGAAATATCCGATTTGATATCTGAATTGCTTAATGGTAAAAGTTTGTGTTTGGTGTGTTGTGCTTGCCGTATAGCTGTAAACCAGACACTGAAGGACCAAACCTGTCATATCTAACATTTTTATTTATTGTAATTTTATGAAAGTCATTTTAAATCTTACCATATGACCAGGACTTAGATAAAGTTTGGTTTAAACTTAGACGAGATTGAGTCTCTCTCTTACTTTTGCTCTTACTGTTTGGATGTACTCAAAGTGACTGCCGTCTTGCTGAAAGTCGATCGGTTTCTGGTTGAAGAACCACTGGAAAGCAACCTCTAGCGATGTGTCGTGTGTTGCTTTGCAGCTCAGTACAACGCTCTCCCCCACGGTCACCTCCACTCTGCTTGGGCTCAGCACCACACGCATGGCCTCTGGAAGAAGAAAACTGCTGCACTGTCACCACAGAAAAACCCCAAAAGGAAAGCCAATGGATTTTCACTTTCACATCCAATTGCCCCAGAAAAATTAGAACCCAAAATGTAACAATTTTTAGGGATAAAATATCCTACTTGCTTCTCATCTAGACTATGTGCACTGCATCTCTGAGAGAGAAGGTTATGCTGTTAAAGCCTGCCCCTGAAATATGATTCTTGAATGTAAAAGCCCTTTTTCACGGCTGATGAGGCACAATATATTTCCTGGCACCCATGCAATGGTGGGGGGTAAAATGACATTGGGGACTGTTTACTGAAGGCTGACTTGTGCTAATTTGGCAGAAAATAAATGCCTCTGGGGCATCACTTACCTTTTACCCAGAGTATGGCAGTCATCTCTGCAGAGCCCAGCTGATTCTCTGCCCGGCACACATAGTTCCCTTCGTCTGCTCGGCTGGAGTTCACAATTTTTAGAGTGTTGTTCCGCAGCACCGTAATCCTATCAAAAAATGGGCTAAAATCAACATTCGTATGGGAATCAAATTCAAAAATCACTTGTCAAAATAACTTCGGACATAATGCTAAATGTCACATCTTAGAGTTCAAAGTACAAAAAATCCTTCTACCTTCTGAGATAATATTAGATCAAATAATCCAGCTGAAGTATTTAAAATATAAATGGCAAGTATCTGAAACTCAAGTATAAATGAACAGCTGAAAAGGGGAATGGGAAAATAAAGGCAAATGTGAATAAACTAGAATGTCATAGAAAACTTTGCTTATTTCAGCAATCAAGAGGGAAAAGTTGGAAATTCTTCATGCAAAGAATAAAATGTTAATTTTCCCCAGATTAAGGGCTCATACTTTAGCTGACCAATAAAAAAGAAGAAAAGAAAAATTAGTGTTACCGAGATAATATGAAAAGTGACAAAGAATGTTGGCTTAGAGGTTGTCCAGCAAACGTCCTCTACAAGGACCACATGAGGTCATTGCTCAATAACCTTACTGTTCTTACAGTACAATATCCCAGCATGTCAGAAACATTATTTGCTAGGTTTAAACAAAAGAAAAAAAATGGAAACATTTATTTGATAAATGGTACAAAAACACATCATAAACAAATAATGAATAGGTTCAAAAGTCAAGAGAGGTTTCTGAAAAGGGAAATTTTCCTCTCCACTGTCGCTACAAGGATGCTTGAGGGATTGCCTTCGAGTCAATGAGCCGATGCAATCAACTGGTTTTCCTTAGATAGAAAACTTTGAATCAGTTTGGCTGTATGATCTGGTTTAATCATCTCTATAAAGTGCCTTGAGGTGACATTTGCTGTGAATCGGCGCTATATAAATAAAGTGAATTGAATCCTACAAGTCGACATGTTTAAACAAATGGATAATAAGATAATAGGCAGCTCCTTCTTGAGCCCCTGGATGATGGTTTTGCCAGGGAAGCAGAAGGACTCTGAGCTCACTGGAGTCACAGAAGACGAAAGCAAAAAAGGAAGACTGGGTCCTTCCTGAAGTCAACATCTCCACTGTTTTGAGAGCGTTGAGCTTCATTTGTTTGCTACTGGACAACGACACCATACATTCTGTCTCAATCCTGTTAATCCTTTGAGCTTCATTAGGGATGAGGCCGATGAAAATAATGTTGACTTCAAACTTCAGGAGTTTGACAGACTGGTGATGCTGGAATGTAGGACTGAGAAAAAATGCAGCCTTGTGTTCATATGGAGAAAAGAATACAAGTACTGTATACATCTTTTTTCTTTAGAAGGGCAAGATTTAAGCATTTGAAATACATAAGTATGTGTAATCAATAGACAGACTTTACCAGTTTCACTGAATCATTGAATTACTACAAGAAACTTATTATACTTAAATAAATTTTCATTTAAAGCCTGCTATTTGAGACATTTTCAATAGGTTTCTGTCTCTGAGTTTTTCATATGTTGAATTTAATTGAAATAATTTTGGGCATGTTTGCAAATTGTTAACTGCAACTGCTGCATAAAAATCACTTCCAAATGCCTCACTGATCAAAACTGATTTGCTGATTCCCAGTGAAAGCTTCTTTCTTCTTAGAAACCATTTTTCACATGAAAAGTGATCCCTCTGATGATCCAATTGCTTCCGATGTTTACGTTGGGTCCATGAAAAACCTCAAGGCAAAGGCAACAGAGGGTTTATGATGTCTGATAAACTGGCAAATCACTCTCAGGTGAGTCTTGAACTGAGTTTTACCAGAACATATGTGAGAGATGACAGTAAAGGTAGAAGTGGGTGAACGTATTAAAGTCTGAGGTGTCATTTCTGATTACTGTATGGGGACAAGTATTGCACAAATTGGGTCCTATAACACCCAGCATCTCCTGGCCCTCCTAAATGCACTTTGCCGACATCCAATTTGCCCAAGCATTGTTTGGAGGGATCATGTCAGCTTTCAACACGCCAATGTTGTTAAAAAATGATTTGCTCTGCACAAAATGATATCAGCAGACTGCCCTCCACTATTATGGTGTGTTCTGTTTGGAGGTGAAAACATATGGCCATTAGACACAGGAACAGGAATGTGTGTTGAACATTCAGAATGGGTCTTCTGAGAGGATTACAGGCAATTATTTTAGAGATTAGCAGCAGCTAAAAACCTGTATATTATTTTCTATTAGGTATTTTAAAGTCAAACATCATTCTAATCTTGACGATAATCTCTGGGCAGAGGAACAAGAGCAACAGGATGTCCAGCAAGCAGATAAGAGCAGATACACGCTGTGCAGGAGCATTTTGTTTTGCCAAAGAAAAACAGGTTTGTTGTCATTGTTGCATTTTCTTTCCCCTTTCATTTCAAAGATGTCACGCTGTGCATTTTTTTCTATTCACTGCACACAACTTCAGATGGATCAAAGGAAAAATTTTGGTTTCGAGCACAAGAAATGCATTTGTATACAAACAAAAATCCATTTTTGTGCACAGCTCTGGTGCATTTTCAACGTCTGAAAGGTACATAAATACGAGTTAACATGATGCGATGTTTACAGACTTGCACTGAACTGCTTGATGGAAATAACATGCGTTTTAATCTGTAGTATCAGTAAACATTTGATACTAGAGGCTTTCTCTGTATCACTAGAGATGGTAATCATTTTATCTTTTTATAAAAGGCAAACCAGTGGTTTGGCACAAATTGTAATTTCCAACTAGATATGTTACACTCTGACACATAACATCCCTTGGACTGAAACAAAGAGATAAAACACTGCTGACTAAATATCTCCGGGCTGTTTAGGAACAGGGTTTGATTTTTATTTGTAAAAAAAACACAACAAAGAACAAAGACATTGGCTTACATTAATTTATAGAAAAAAACAAACAAAAAAAACACAAATGAAACTGTGATTAATTCAATAAAATGTTATATATATTATTTGCATTGTAGATGCTGTGTTTGTACACGAGTATTCGAGATTTAGCTAATGAAACTCATTCAGCTTATTTTATTTATGCCAATCAATCTAAAGTAACTCTAAATTTAGATATCTTAAAAATGTATAAAAAACAACAACAAACAAATAAAATGTTAACCATACAGGTTTTGAGTTATGGTTAACAGGGAAATGAATGTAAAACAAATAAAAAATCCTAAACAGCTTCCTCTGCAGCATTAATAAACATGGTATGCATTAAAGGAAAGATTTTAACATAATGACTGGTTCAGTGGGTAAAGTAAAGTGTCACTGAGGTTTTGACGCCCCACAGAAACACTCATTTCTCTGCTTTCCAGTGAATAAAGCTGCTTTCTATTAGATCTTACGCCTTTCATGGATCACAACGGGCTGCCATTTGAATAATTACAGTATAATTTAAAGCTCATCAAAAGGGAAAAAAAAAAAAAAAATCAGTAAAATGTTTGCTGAGAATGCCAAACAATGGGAAATAAAGTACATTGAGGGTTCTTTGTTCCCCTGCATCAGTATTTCCATAAATCTAAATAAACAGTGCTTTCATCTTGTAGGATCAGGGCTCCACGTGACACAGTGTAAATGTTAAAGCACTCAGTGAATTTAAAGAGGAAAAAAAAACCTGTCAAACTCTGATATGCATGTCACCAGGCGGTTCTCAAAAGAAAGCTCAAGTGTAACAAGGAGGAGGAAAACAAACTTGCAAACATCACTCCTACATTCATAAGAAGGCCCTAATTCAGCTGAAGGACACAAACAAGTCGGTGCAAACATTTTATTTAGACTTGTAAGAGCTGGGGAATTAAATGCCTGACATGTTGCAGAATGTTCCTACAGCCAGCAAGGCTGCTCGCATTTGGTGGCAGGGAGGTAACAAACATATGAGGCTGCCCTGTCCCTTTCATGGAAAGTATTCTCTTTCTCCCAAAGCGTCAGCTGGAATTTAATCATTTGAAACAGAGTTATTTCATGTTCGACTATAAGAAGAATTTATTTATTTGTTTCTATCTTCCTTAAAAAAGTACATTTTTTTTATTATTCTCTTATTTATTAGGATGATCAAATGTTTACACTGTAAAAATGATCTAGAAATAAGTTCAGATGTCCTAAATCAAGTATATTTACCCTTAATTTTAGTAGTTAATTGGAATGATTTGCCAATGGAATGAGTATTTTTACTCTTAAAATAAGATAATTAGAAAATATGCACTTTTAATAAGACAATACAATTGCTTTTTCTTATTCTAAATCTAAAATGTCTTGTTCCATTGGCAAAGTGTCTCACTTAACTCCTCAATTCAAGACAAACAGCACCTATTTTAAGACAAAAATTACTTATTTAGATTTCTATTTTTTGTAGTGTAAATAATTTACATTTGGAAATTCATGATTGAGAAATAAGTATGAAACTACATCTATTGGACCTCTGGACACTTGAATGGAAAATTGTCCCTTTTCATCTGATCAGATTTAAATTTAAGTAATTTCAGATTTCAGACACGTTAATAAAGTTGGGAAAATCAAAACATTTGTTTCAACAGCAGTTAACAATGGCATTGAGAGGATTTTCTTGATATTGCTTGCACTTTTTGTCTTTTTCTTGCAAAAAAAAGAGCACTTTTTTAACTTGCAAGGTGATTTAAAATGGCAGTGAGAGACTCATGGGGATAAGGGCGAAATCTACCTACAAGCAGACAGTTAGGAAACCATCCACAGCCAGGAGACATTTTTCAAATTAGGGAGGATATTCACATCCGACAAGGACACTGAGGCAGAAAGGACAAGATAGAGACTGCTGGGTATACAGAACATGCAAATGAAGCCAACCTTAGAGAACATAAAGGAAATAGCTAAATATCACAGAAAACCTTTGCCATTTGGAAACTAATCCAGTGATTTAAAGCAGGGTGCATGAGTAAAAATCAAACAGATGTAGAGTAATCATTATTTAAATGCTGCATCATTAAAATTTGGCAGATTTTTTAAAAGTTGGGCAATAACAATAAAAATTTCCAAAAGACATAGTCTAACACAGCAGGTCTGTTTATTTCAAACGAGTCTGCCACGTGCTTTCAAACTAATGGGATTAATACCTTCTGTTTAAGACACAAAAAGCCCTGAACATTACCGGAAATCCATGTTAATTACAAACCTTCATTAAGTCAGCACAGCTGTCAATGCCAGATAAACGTGAGGCTGCTTCGATTCCTCCCCTCCTTCAAGAACACCATAGACTCTTTACTATAGATGGTGTCAGAAAATCCTTGTAGGAGTCATCCTGGCTGTGACCTCAGAATGCACAGCTTCTCCTGCTTTGTTTCAGCTATTTGAGATTGCAATCAGCCCTTCACAAGGTTGATCTCGATTTAAACAGTGATTCTTCTAAACACGGCGTCATCCACTTCATTAACTCACTATGGGACATTTAAGTTGGAAGAGACAGCCTATTAAAGGCGTCAAACTCAAATAGGATCTTGGTGTCTGACGATAAAAGCACTTTGTGTGGCATCTTAACTTTACTGAGATAGTTAATAAAGGAAAATGTGTCATGTGTAACAGCAATATCCCATCTAAATGGTGAAAGTTAATTTCTCAGAGTTGAAAGATTTAAAAACCTTGAAAAAAATATTCACACCCCAATATCTTTTTCCCATTTTGTCTA